AACCGAGTTTATTAGAGTCCTCCACCGAGAACTCAAGCGGAGCTGTGCCTGGAAAGCTGACCAGCCTACACTGCAACCACCTGGGGTGTAAGTAAATAATCTTTTCAATCAACCATTACGCCTCCGTGACTGATTCTAGCTCGAGCATACTATACCGCACCGCGGTTTTCTCCAGCCCCGTGTGCCCGGGCTGCCAGCCACAGCCTGTGTGCACAAAGATGGGCCCCCGGCTCGCCCCGGCTCGCACATGGCAACCCAGATGGGATCAGGAGAGAGCTCGCACATGGCGATCCAGGCGGGATCGGGAGAGGGCCCGCACACAAGGAAGCAAACCTTCATTTGACTATGTGAGTAACTTTCCTTGTCCCTACTGTGCCAGGACATAAAACCAGGAAAATCATACCACCTAGACATGAATTTCTTTTGTCATCAGGAAGCTTCCTGTGCCAAACTGTTACACATCAATGGCAAGTCTGTAGGAGTGCACTGATAGAGATTTTTTGGGCCGATACCGATAGCCAGTTTCTAAGGAGGCATATCGCCTCATACTGATCTGATTTCTGATACACAGCCCGGCAGCTTGAACAGCAGTGTCTGGCTGGTAAGCCTGTTGTGGTGGAAGGGGAGGGGAGGGGCAGATAGAGGCCCGTGAGGGAGGGAGTGGGGCAGGGGCCAGGGCAGACACTGCCCACACAGGGCATGGTATGGAGCCGCGACTCATCTGGGGGTTGTTGGGGGGAGTCAGCTCCCCTGTGTGCACCCTGGTGGGGCATGCGCCTCCCAGACTTGGGTCAGGCGGCTGCAGCTGCAGGCTGGGGCAAGTGCCGAGCTCTTCTTGGCTGGGGGAAGTGGGGGTTGAGCTGTGCTTTGCTCGGGGCAGGTGGCGGCAGCAATGGGAGTGGGACAGCAGCCACCCCAAAATTTGCTGTTGCCTCCTCCACCCCCTGCCACCCACCCTGAGTGCAGCTTGGCCCAGCCCCTGCTGGGAAGAGCCCAGCACTAGCCCTAGCCCACAGCTGCCCCACCCTGTTCAGGTCCGGGGAGCATGCACCCCCCCCCCCCCCACCCCCCCCAGGGGGGGCCGGTAGCTTCCCCCAGCTCCCCTGGGGCCCCCCAGATGAGCCACAGCTCCGTCCTGCACCCTGCCCCGGCTGGCCAGTGCCTGCCCCAGCCCCACTTCTTCCCTCACCGCAGGGGCCTCAATCTGCTCCCACCCTCCACATGCCCCTACCTTCCACATGCCCCTTCCTTTCCCCCTCCCCTTCCACCACAACAGACTTACCAGCTGGACACAGCTCTCCAAGCTGTCACTGCTCTCCTGACCACGTGCATGTTGCAGCTGTGCACGTGCACGGGACATTTACTGGCCACATTATCAGGAAAAAAAAGCTGATTTCTGATATAGTCAATTTTCTTTATATTGATGCCAATCCAATATTGCAGGAGTTGTCAACCGGGGGTATGTGGAACGGTCCTAGGGGGTACATGTGTGCGGGCAGGGACAGAGCGCTGCCACCTACCACACCATGCTGCTGCCTCACAGGAGCAGGGGCAAGGGG